ATATTTTTAAATTATTTTTTGCGAAAGTGATTTTAATGAATTAATATGATTTTTGCGATTAGGATGATATCAAACACAATATAATTCGAATATAATTCGAATTTTCAATTAGATAAAAATATATAATAAATATATATAATAAAAATTTTGTCATGTTTGATATGATTGATTGTAAGTCTTATTAATTTATTAAAATTATTTTCGAAGAAAGATAAACTAAAAATATAAGAATTTTAAAATTTTAATAAAAAAATATGAAAAGAAATAATATTATATTAAAAAATATTAAAAAATTAATTTGTTAACATTTGCAACATTTGTTTTCTATAAGAAAAACAATGTTTTTTTTACAAAAAACAATTTTTTCTCTAAATATAACTGAAAATATTTCAATAAACATATGAGATTTAATTAATTAATGACCGTTTATAAATGGAATTATTTTATATAGAAATATTATCACGTGCCGTTGATGGATTCATGAATCGTTCATTTAATTAATAACTAATGAAAAAGAAGATATCAACCTGCGCGACTGTAACATTTGCATATATTTACACATTATATACATAACGTCCATTATTCTCTTTGAGAGACTTTCAAAGGAGGTATTAAAAAACTTACTATTAATTTCACTGAACTTAAGTTTGTCAACTATAGAGCCATGCGATATTAAAATACTTAATCAATCAAAATAGATTAAGTGCGACATAAGATCTTTTATCGCGTATACATATATTTCACATCGGAAACTGAACTGAAACTCATTGAAATACTATTATTTCAATCTCTTTCTTTGATTCAAAGCACATGATTTCACGATCATTTTCCAAGTGAGAAGATCACATTTATCTTCTGCGAATAGGTCCGTTATAATGTTATGTTTAATGTATTATGTAATTGTGTAATATATAATTTTTGTCTGCCATTTATTTTTGGATCTTTTTAACTCATCTGTATTATTGAAAAAACAGTCATTATGCATATGTGTACGTATGAGATCCTAAGGAAGAAAATAAATGAATTAGAAAGAATTTATTTTACAAAGTTATATAAATTCTTTGTTTTCAAATTAGAGTCTGATTTTTTGTGTACCAAAATTTTTTGAAATCAATATACAATTCTAAAAATTAAGAAAACTTATTTTTATTTTATTTTGCACAGCAAATTAATCTTTCGTTTCACTAATTCTGTTCTTTTAGAAAAGATAAATTTTTAAAGATAAGATAATTTCTTAATCTATTTTAATTTGTTCATTTTTATAAAGTCTCCTTCGATTTTGAAACATTAGCATGTTAGATTCTGTGAGAGTAATTACAAATCAAAATACGGTATTCAATTTCGACGAATAATAATCGTCGGTCGTCAACGGCATCGAAATTCACATCTTAAATGCCACATCAAGAATATTTTAATAATTTAACATCACAAATTGAGTCACATATCTGCATTTAGCATCAATTTTCTTGTTCTAACCCAGTCCTAAAACGTACTTTGGTAGATTGTACGCAAACCTGGGGATGGCCATCACTACGGACATTCTGCAATTCCAAAAAATTTTGATTATGATATTTTATACGTATTGTTATCTTAATTCTCAAGTTTGATAAAGAATATTATTATATTATTATAATATGATATGATGAATAATACTATTTCTCATATAAATAAAATAATTCTCATGTAAATAAAAATAAATGAATCAATAATCAATGAAATCAATAATCAATAATCAATAATCAATAATCAATGAAAACTTATTTTCGAGTAAAAACAAATTTTATCGCAAGAGAAACAAAGAGATACAATAACAGATTCTTATTAAATTCTTTCCAAAGATGCAAAAGTGTAAATTAAATTTCTAGAATTTTAAATATGATATTGCACATAATTATAATGATACAGATAGAAAATAGATGCAGCTTATAAATATTGTGTGAAGCAATCATTCTAAATAGGCTGAAATATTTATAATTGCACTTGACAACTAAGAAGGCATTAAAATAAAGTAAAAAACCAGCCACATAAAAAATAGCATTTATTTTATTAACATTGCGATTTAATTTTGCCAATATTTTAATTATATATGTGTTTGCTATTTATAATTGACTTATATATACATATACATATATACAGGGTGTCCCAAAAGTCCCGGACCAGTCGAATATTTCATAAATTATGCACTTTAGAAAGAAATGTTTCAGACAAAAGTTGTATGGCTTGAAGGAGGCCATCAGATAGTAGCAATGATTTAACATGGGAGAGTCATTTGAAAGTCACGTGAAGATCACCAGAGAGAGAAGACAAGAAAAAAATATGTAATTTGCAATTAACAATTACATATTTTTTTTTAAAAACAACTATGTGTTTTCTCACCAATTGATTCTCTCATTATTTTGTATATAAAAGTATTAAGGTAAGATAATCGAAAAATGAATATTTTACTAGATATTTTATGGTTTATATAAAATTAAGAAATGATTTCAAGCTTTATAACTCGAAAAGTACTCAATGAAGAAATACTTTATTATAGTGTTTTGGAAAGCTCTCGAGATAAGCTACACGAATATGTAATAAAAAATAGGGGATTCCATTTAAGAAATTGACGGTGATCTTCACGTAACTTTCAAATGACTCTCCCATGTTAAATCATTGCCACTATCTGATGGCCCCCTTCAAGCCATACAACTTTTGTCTGAAACATTTCTTTCTAAAGTGCATAATTTATGAAATATTCGACCGGTCCGGGATTTTTGGGACACTATATATACAGGGTGTTTCATAAGTGGTGAGCAAAATTTCAGGAATGGATTCCTCATGCTTAGAGAAGAAAAAGAAGTTAATCGACATAGGTCCGGAAATGATAAGTTTTTGAGTTATTAAGATTTTTGTAATACAAAATTTTGTCTCATTTCTCATCTTAGAAGTCCTTTTACCAGCATCAACAATGTTTTTCAGGCCGTTGAACTTATCTGGCGTACAGCAAATTGTCTCGCAGCCTGCAGTGATACGATCATGAAGATCGTGAACGCACTGGTGGCATTTTTGAACGTGTCTGTGAATCAATGCGTCGACGTGTCACTGCTTGTATTCAGGAAAATGGTGAACATTTTCAACATTTATTGTAACATACTCAAAGTCACATTAAAGCCAAATGTAAATAAGCCTAATTAAATGATTGTCGTCTACAATAATTAATCCTAAATTTTTCCTTGTGTAAGTAATATAGCTAACAGTATTTTCAACATAACTCCTGAAAGCATTTCCGCGCCTATGTCCATATAACATTTTTTCATCTTTCAGGTGTGAGGAATATCTCCTTAAATTTTTGACATACCTTTTTAGAACACCCTGTATGTGTGTGTGTGTATACGCGCGCGCGTATACACACACGCGCACACAGTGTTTCATTTAAGACTTCAAATAACTCCATTATTTTTACATGTACAAAAAAGTAAAGAAGTGTTGTATGAATGAAAGGGGGACATAAGATGGTGACAATTATTTTTTTACACGAATTGATTTCTTACATTATTTTGTACATAAAAGTATCAAGATAAGATAATCGAAAAATGAATATTTTACTAGATATTTTACGGTTTATATAAAATTAAGAAATTATTTCAAGCCTCATAACTTGAAAATTACTCAACGAAAAAAATACTTTATTATAGTGTTTTGGAAAGCTCTCGTATTGAGCTACAAGAATATGCAGTGAAAAATGATTTCCATTTAAGAATTTGAAGGTGATTGTCATGTGACCTTCAAAAGACTATCCAAAATCAAATAATTGTCACCATCTTATGTTCCTCTTTCATTCATACAACTTCTTTCTTCACCATTTTTTTGTATATGTAAACATAACGGAGTTATTTAAGGTGTAAGAGTTAAATGAAATGCCCTGTATATATATACAAGGGATAGACAAAATAATGTGAACACCTGAAAAATACACTATATTTGTTTATTAATAAAGTGTTGGGCCATCACTTGCCTTTAATAACAGCTTCAATTATTCTTGGAATAGAATCATACAATTTTTGAATAGTTTCCAGTGGAATATTGCCTCATTCTTTTATCAAAATATGCCACTTTCTTTAAAGATGTTGGAGGAGGAAATCTGCTTTTTTTTCAAAACTGTCACACTGTGGTTTAATAATATTTAAATCAGATATTTGTGATGTGTGGTCAGAGAATAAGACGTTAAAGTTTATTTTGATGCTGTTCAAATCAAGGTTTAAACTTTTCTAGTTGTGAGTATAGGTGCGTTACCATCTTGAAAAATGGCATTATTTAATAGAAGAATGGAACTATATATTCTATTCAAGATTATTCAAAAATCAATTCTATTCCAAGGAGAATTTAAACTATATTAAAGCCCAATATTTCATTAATAAACAAATATAATATTTATTTTTCAGGTATTCACATTACATTTTCTATTCTCTTGTGCTTGCGTGCGTGTGTGTGTAAGTACGTGCATGCGTGCGTGCGTGCATGTGTGTGTATGTGTGCGTGTATTAACTAATTAAATTATATTAAAAATTATTAATAATTATTAATAATAGTAAACTTTACTTTTACACGCGCACATGGAAGAATAATTTGTCAAATGTTTCTTTTAACATGTTCAAAAATTATGTAGCTAGTTCATTTGGATATATGTTTATTTGCAACTTTTATATCTTCATGCTACTTACTATAATGCGCGGAGAGAAACATCAATCATTGGCTGTTACATTCCACCACCATAAACAAGATTATCGATTCTACTTCGAGATATGTACAAGTTACTTAGTATTTTCGATGAATTAAAGCCAGAGCAAGTATGTTGCGATGCGCTTGGCAGATTAAGTGTACCTAGGAAAGCTTATATATTTTTGCGCATTCGTTAGAATGCGCTTTTGTGTGGTGCTGAAATTAATTCAAATAGTTAAAAGGTATCTACATTATTTACAGTAAGTTGATCAATTGATGTGATCCCAACACCGCGTGTTTCACGTTATTTATTTTATTAGAAAAATTTTTATATTAAGGAAGAACATATTTAAAGAGCGTATTTTTTGACAAGGCACGTGGTTAAGATTACGTAGTATAATATCTTATTCGTCTATAGGGCACATATTCCTGTTCTTTTCATTTTTTTTTGTTGTAATGCAGACAACACTCGAAGGAGCTTGCAAAAAAAAAAAAATACAATTGCCTTTAATTACGATGCAATATGTTTCGCAAAGAATCCTCTGAAACACACGCGAAAAATCAAATATGTTTTTTTATTACTGCTTCTTTTCATCATTGAAAATATTAATGGTTTCAACCTTTCATGCAAGTGTTACGAAATTATATTTATTTATTTGATTATAAAAAGCTCATTCGAATGTGGTGCATACATATACATACATGCATTCTAAACGAGCAATATTAATAGATATATATTTCAGTGCCATTGAAAACAATCGATGGTTTTTTCTGTCCTAAAATGCTGTTCAATAAAAAAATTTACAACTTGCTAAATATATTGTATATTAGTAATATATTATATATTATTATATATTAATTTTATGTTTTTCCATCTTTACATAAAAAATTCTCTAAAAAGTTCTATAATTTATCTATAAATTCTTATATACTAATTAACGAAAAAGAAAATAAGAGACATTGCGTGAAATAATATATTTTCTGCAACATTTTTTGTCCTTCTGATAATTTAATAAAATACAAGCAAATGAAACAATATAATCAATTAATTCCTATAACATAATCATTTTTGATGTTTGAAATTTTGATTGAAATCAACTTTTAAGAATTAGAAGAGATATTTGTAAAATACAAACAATATTTTATCTTTATATATATGTAATATAAATTATTGCATCCTATAATACGGTATAATTAATGTCAATATTATATTGTATGTTTCTTTTAATCAAATAATAGAAAAAAATGATGAATTTCTTCTTTTACAATCTTAGTTGCATATTTTTTGCTTCTTGCAGTTATTTTTATTATTACAAAGTATAATTACGATATTATGAAAAAGCTGAATAATTATAGACAGAAATTTAATACAGCTATGCATATAAAAAGTAATTAACTATATCTAAATCACATAGTTGTATCTCTAAATTTATAAGACATCAAGTTAATTACCAGTTGATGTATTGTTATACACTTACTTAATATGTAAATTAATATTATTATTGATTATTATTAATATATTTAAATCGATATGTTTTAATTGAGCAGTTTATACATATTTCCTCTCTTTCCTCAATCAGACTTTAGTTATTAATCTCTACATATTCTTTCTGTGTGATTCACACACATTTTAACATATTGTCTCATAATTAAGCTGGGTTATTAGTGCTACTATTAAAATTCGATTAATATATATATGTATATATATATATATATATATATATATATATATATTACACATAAGCGATTATTATTAAATCAATCGCAACTTTTGTTAGAGTATGCGTTATCATGAGCCATCGTTGTTTCCTCAATTTATCAATATCGTTTTAAATTTGTTCACTTAAAATTAGAATTACAATAAAAAATAATCAATGCATACAACATAAAAAAGTTGTAATTATAGGCTTATAAAACTACGCATTCAAGACAAGTTCTTTCTAGATAACGAAAAAAAAGAGAAAGATTTGATCTGAAATTAATTGAAGTGAAATGTTAAGTTAAAAAATAAACTAAAGATTTTATAGTTTTTGTTATATCAAAATTTTTGAAATAATAATCGCGATATATTTTTATGTGGATTAATTAACTTCATTAGTCTCAATATTGACGTTATAGAGTTGAATCCACAAGTCTTTTACATACGATAATGCGAGTCCTTTATAGATCCACGCCCGCCAGCCTGTTCTAGTTTCGACGTCGATCCGCGCTTCCAGACTCTGACATAACGCTTTCCGATCGTGACTTCTTCCGCTGCGCAAATCGCAGAGCAATCTCTTGCGACATTCGTCATTGCACGCCGGTCGCACTGGAGAATTTTTATAGTAATGTCTGTAAAAATCGAAAGCAAATACGTCGCATTATTTTCGGAGTAATATCGAATTTCTTATTTTTCTTTGTTAATTTGCCATTAATATTTTCGCTTATTACAATCGATCGATTTAAAAATAAAAGAATATATATCTTTGTATAATAATAAATTTTATTAATATATTATGTATAATATTGTTATGTTCCTGATCGTCAAGTCGGTATTGCAAAAGATGAACATCTGGTTGTTAAGGGTTGTTAAAAAGAGAAGAACAATTGAGTCGGAAGATAGCTGTCCGAACGCGTTTTCATATACGAGCCATTATTGTGTTATTAATCCGTTGTATTATTAATCTATTGTTCGTGTGTTTCGCATTAAAGTTTTTCATTATCCTTAAAAGTGTTTATTTATTTAACACGATCTGCGACAGCCGTTCTCTTTAGTGCGTGTCTTCGATACACAAGGTAGGGCAAAAGTTCCGGAACGGCTAAATATCTTAAAAAATATTAATTTTTTTGTAAAAATAGTTAAGATAGAAAAAATAGCTTAAAAAGATCAATTAGCTGATGGTATTTATTTGATCTTGGAATGAACTTGAAGAGCGCGATCAAGGTCATCATAAAAATCTTAAACGGCAACCCCTATTTTTTATTACATATTCTTGTAGCTTGCCTCGAGAGCTTTCCAAAACACTATAATTAAACATTTTTTCATTAAATACTTTTCGAGTTATGAGATTTAAAATAATTTCTTAATTTTACATGAACCATAAAATCCTAACAGCACACATGTCCGAAAGATATCCAAAGGATATCCATAGAATATCTATAGGAGATCGGGATATTCTATGGATGTCCTTTGGACATGTGTGCTGTTAGGGAATATTTAATAAAATATTCATTTTTCGATTATCTTACCTTAATACTTTTACGTACAAAATAATGAGAGGTATCAATTGATGTAAAGAAAACATATAGTTATTTTTAAGAAAAAATATGTAATTGTTAATTGTAAATTACATATTTTTTCTTCGAAACAATTATGTATTTTCTTTATACCAATTGATTCCTCTCATTATTTTGTACGTAAAAGTAATTAAGATAAGATAATCGAAAAATGAATACCATTTAAGATTTTTATGATGACCTTGACTGCGCTTTTGAAGGTCATTCCAAAGTCAAATAAATATCATCAACTAATAGATCTTTTAAGCCATTTTTTTCTATCGAAACTATTTTTACAAAAAAATTAATATTTTCTGAGATATTTAGCCGTTCCGGAATTTTTATCCTACCTTGTATATCGAAGTCTTCGCCCCCGGCGTAACAATAATATATTATGTAATAATATATTAATATATTATGATATATAACTCTTTCCAATTTTTTAATTAAAAAAATTTGTTTTTTTTGCATAAAACTTATAAACTACATTATCTTACAGTATCAGTCAAAAGTATTGCATTATTAAAAAACAGAGAGATCGTTACTCTTCAATGAACAAAATAATTATAAATATTACCAAATTATATTTTATTACTGTTATTTTATGTTTTATTAGTTTTGTGAACTTGAGAGAAACAGCTAGAAGATAAAAAATAAACTTTATCATTTATTTGCGTTTTCTGTATTTTTTGGGAATGATGCAATACTTTTGATTAGTATTGTATTAGGAGGATATCATTACTTGTAATAGAGATCAAAGAGGGCTGGTTCGTTGGTCATTTTGTCAATTAGGGAGTCCCAGTCCTTTGGTAAGAGCGATGCCATTTGGTAGGCTTGTCGTGCGCTATACAACTTATGCCAGATCGGATAATCGTAAAGATTTGCTTCCTTGAGATTCATGACCCAGCTCTCGTGATCGATGACCATCTAGAATGTGCGCGTTAATTTGAAAATAATAAATAATCCCTTTATATATGAAAAAGGAATGTCACAGACTGTTCGGCTAAAGTCTATCAGAGTATTTATTAATCATACTAATGAGAAAAGAAAATATCATTTTATTTACTCTTGTAGTCTTTGGATGATCTCCATCGATATAATATATTCTGTAGCCGGGATTCAAATCATAATATGGCGAAACTGAAGGACCGACGTAGGCGATGCTGAGCGCTCTGCCGAGGTCTGATGTATCATAGAATATCTGGAACTCGTCATAATGCGTATGCCCGAAGAACTGGGCCGTGATTGTTGACTCATAGCTAAGTAAATAGAGGAAGGACATTTGTTACACAATGCATTTAAATGTTGCTCGGTGGCAATTTACAATAGCGATTTAAACAATCAAGTACCAACCGGTTGATGATGTGATAGTAATTCCTCGACCACACCTTAAGGCAATCCGAATGTCCAGGTGGAATATGACCGATTATATGCACTTTCTCACCATTGATTTCGGCACCTTGCAGCTCATACACGAGCCATTGTAGCTCGCTGACCGGGTCAGTGCTATTGATCAACAACCACCAGTTCTTGTTGTTGCAATAATTCATATTCACAGAGAGAATTCTGAAGCCTGGTCGAACTAGAACGGAGTAGAAGGCACCGCGACGGACAGTATGTGATACACCGGCTGGCAGCCAGCGTCGCCATTGTTTGTCAAGCTCATCATACAGCCATGAGATACTATTTTCTTCAGGCACAAAGGGTGGTGGGAAACTAAAATAAAGGAATGTTTTAACTGTTATTGTTCATTTTAGAAAGAATTTGGTTCCAGAAATATATTAAAAATATTTTTTATAGTGAAATTAATTTGTCTCTAAAGAGTTTTTGATATGTAAGCAATAATGGAATGTAATAGAAATCTTTACAGTTGTATTATTGTTGCTGATTGTTTCTAAAATAATTTTTCTAAGGTTATTAATTTAATTAATCAGATAAAAAAATTTGATAATGGCTTAATCAGTCATTTCTCTCTTCTTCTTTCTCTCGCTATTGCTCTTTTATTGTATTAATTTTGTTTAAATCTTGAAATGTTTGTATTATGTAAAAAAGAATAAATTTTTGTAAAGGAAAAAATAATTTTCTCTAAATTTTTGTACAAGACGAATAATTTGTATCTGAAAGAATATTTTCTAGAAAAGTGAAAGTGATAAAATGTGAGTTCCAAGATGAGATAGAGGTGAGTTTAAGTGGATAGCTGATATATACCTGTTGACCGGCGCGCTTTCGTGATTTCCCAAGGCAGGAAAAATTGGTATGCCGGGAAACATCTCTACCATTTGTGCGACCGTATTACGCAATACTTTAAGGTTTTCTTCTCGCGTTTGATTCCACACATCGTGAGGTGGCAAATCACCCGTCCACAAAATGTAATCAATATCCTGAAAATTTTTTCAATCATAAAGAAAAATTATTTCCCTTCCAACTTATATGAACGACGATTAATTTTTTGTTTGTAAAAAATCACACATATTTATTATACAGAGTGTCCCAGAAGTCCTGGATCGGTCGAATATTTCATAAACTATGCACTTTAGAAAGAAATGAATTTCAGACAAAAGTTGTATGGCTTAAAGGGGGCCATAGTGAAGATAGTGGCAATGATTTGACATAGGAGAGTCATTTGAAAGAAACGTGAAGATCACCGTCAATTTCTTAAATGGAACCCCCTATTTTTTATAACATATTCGTGTAGCTTATTTCGAGAGCTTTCCAAAACACTATAATAAAGTATTTGTTCATTGAGTACTTTTCGAGTTATGAGGCTTGAAATCATTTCTTAATTTTACATAAACCGTAAAATATCATGTGAAATATTCGTTTTTCGATTATCTTACCTTAATACTTTTATGTACAAAATAATAACAGGAATCAATTGGTGTAAAGAAAACATACAGTTGTTTTTAAGAAAAAATATGGAATTTGCAATCAACAATTCCATATTTTTTCTTAAAAACAACTGCATGTTTTCTTTACACCAATTGATTTCTCTCATTATTTTGTACATAAAATTATTAAGGTAAGATAATCGAAAAATGAATATTTCACAAGATATTTTACGGTTTATGTAAAATTAAGAAATGATTTCAAATCTCATAACTCAAAAAGTACTCAATGACGAAATACTTTATTATAGTGTTTTGGAAAGCTCTCGAGATAAGCTACACGAATATGTAATAAAAAAATAGGGGGTTCCATTTAAGAAATTGACGGTGATCTTCACGTGACTTTCAAATGACTCTCCCATGTCAAATCATTGCCACTATCTGATGGCCCCTTCAAGCCATACAACTTTTGTCTGAAATATTTCTTTCTAAAGTGCATAGTTTATGAAATATTCGACCGGTCCGAGACTTTTGGGATACCCTGTATACTTAATATAAATAAATTTTTTTCCATCAGTGAAACACATTTGTTAATATTTGTACGGCAATTAAGAGCAAATGTCTCGTCATTTCTTTGTAAGTTTTATATGGTGACGGCTTAATTAATTGCTTGGACGTGTTACTCACTGAATGCGTGTCAGCGATATGCTTCAGCATATGATCGATCGTTCTTTTGGGTGTATCGCATTTTCTGTAATCGCCCCACCGTCCAGCGGCGGCTGAGGTCGTTAAAGGAGCGCCGTTTGTCAGTCGACAGCAGAGCGGTTCATTGCATTCGGCATTCGCGCCCTCCTGATAATAGGGATCATAATGTGTATCGGAGATATGCAACACCTTGAAGGTCGGCGCGCCTTCCTGCGGAGGTATTGGCGGTTTGATTGGCGGTTTCTTGACCGGTGGAAAAGCCACCTCCCATTCGTGTAGTGGATTAAACGCGTCATCGCATGCATCGCCGATCACGAAGCTGCAGATTTGTGCTGGACCCATAGTCACTTGTTTCAGAACGTAGATCACTTCCCCCTATGCAGATTTATTTTAATTTCAATGTTTGTTCATTTTATACAGGGTAAAAGAAACAGTGTATACGTCCCGGCAGGAAAAATGCCTCATTTATTTGCTCCTATCAAATATAATGAGCTTATTAATAAATGAATATTATTGGGGATTGATATATGGCAGTACATACAATCAATCGGAAAATCACAGAACTTTTGAAATGCGAAACTACTGAATTTTGTATGCGACATTTTAAAAAATTGTAATATTTTATATTTAAAAAAGTATAAAATCACAATAATTTTCAAAAATTTGTAAAATTTGTTGGTAAATATTTTTCTCATTATCTTTTAGTCTATAAAAGTAATTATCATATGTGTATATATATATGTATATTCTCATTGTATTTATGAAGATAGAATTCGATGACAGAGAGTCGTTGCAAATGCTTCTTTTATTCGATATATGAGAATGTGCTTTTCTTTAAAATGTAAAAATGTTCCACATTTTTAAGTAAGATGTCTTAGTTTCATTATATTTTTTTTTGCAGACTTGGGCAAGATGTATAAAAGAAAAATTAAAAGGAAGAAGAACCATTGCTAAAATTAGTAAAATAAAAATAGCTAACTTAAGCATTAAAAATTAGCAAAGATCAAGGCATAAATGGATATCAATGTTTTTTTTTAGAAGAAATCGAGAAAGATGCAATGCTTGTAAATATTCAATCAATATTTTTATTGAATTAAAATATGAATTTTTATTTTTTTTCATCGAATTTTATAATTAAAACAAAATATTTTTGTTAATTATAGTTATTTGAAATGTTTTTCGCCGAAATCTGAAGGAAAACGTCCTTTTCAATATTTTCAAAAATATTTTCAAAAATATTTTTAATATTTTTAATATTTTCAAAATTGATTTTATAATCAGGATACTTCAATTAATTCAAAATTAGTACAATTATTAATTGTAATATTAATAATAATATAGAATATTTTACAATTTTAATTACTGAAATTTATTAAAATTTCTTTATTATGATTGCATTTTATATTGATTTAACCGTTTGAGTGCCATGGACTTTTGTAGAAACTTGATTGAAAAATGCCAAGCGGCGTGATAGCGCTTGTCTAATTCCGAGTGGAAAAGAGCCAAGCGGCGCGGATAACGCTTGTTCGGTTCCATTTCGGAAAGTGCCAAGCGCGATTGCATGTTTTCTACTTATAAGCAATAATTGTTATCCAGGATTTATACTACCGGAAAAAACTGGAAAACCTGGAATTCTCAGGGATTTTTATTTTAACCTGGAAAATCAGAGAATTCTCATGGAATTTTATTAAGACCCAGAATTTTTTAAAAACTACTTTTCTGATCATTTTTTTATATTCTAAGTGTAAACATTCGCTCTGTGTAGAATATCTTGAGCGATATCGAGCGTCTATTGTAGAGCAAGAAGCTTAAAAAAAGAAAAAAACATTTTAGAGATGAAAAAATTAGGTAAAAGAAGCGTATATAAGAATTTTAGAGAATGTTCAAAAACAGGCGAATGCTCTTGAAGAACAGATTCGAGCATTAAAAAATATATATATATATTTTTTTACATAATAAAATACATAATATTTTATATACATAATAAAATTTTTGTGTTGTCCAAATTTTATTAAAATCTTTTAAAATGTTTTTTTTTTTCAATTTATGTTAAAAGTTTACGTACGATAAATTATTTTAATTTTACCTGGAGTTTTAAACAAAAATACTTGGAAAATCATGGAATTCTCAGGGAACTTATTTTCAAGATTTGAGTGTGCACCCTATTATTTTTACAAATTTAGTGTTACTCTGACATTCCTTTGAACATAACTAGTAAAAGTACTGTTTAAGTCACACAATTCGAAAAAAAGCGAGCGTGCACTTACTGTGAATTTACAGACATTGATGCGCTGACACTTTTGAGTAGTATTTTGGACGGGGGGAGCGCGGTTGCGTCGCTTGGTACTCAAACGGTTAAGCAAATGTGGGACATATTATATACATCATTTTATCTTTTAATTTTATATACAGAGTGTTTCAAAAGTCTCGGACCGGTCGAATATTTCATAAACTATGCACTTTAAAAATAAATGTTTCAGATAAAAGTTGTATGGCTTAAAGGGGGCCATCAGATAGTGGCAATGATTTGACCTTGGAGAGTCATTTGAAGGACACATGACGGTCACCGTCAATTTTTTAAATAGAACTATTTATTTTTTATTACATATTCGTGTAGCTTATCTCGAGAGCTTTCCAAAACACTATAATAAAGTATTTCTTCATTGAGTATTTTTCGAGTTATGAGGCTTGAAATCATTTCTTAATTTTGCATAAACCATAAAATATCTAGTAAAATATTCATTTTTCGATTATCTTACTTTAATATTTTTATGTATTAATACAAAATAATGAGAAGAATCAATTGGTGTAAAGAAAACACATAGTTGTTTTAAAAAAAAATATGTAATTGTTAATTGCAAATTACATATTTTTTTCTTAAAAACAATTATATTTTTTCTTTACACCAATTGATTCCTCTCATTATTTTGTATATAAAAGCATTAAGATAAGATAATCGAAAAATGAATATTTTACTAGATATTTTATGGTTTATGCAAAATTAAGAAATGATTTCAAGCCTCATAACTCGAAAAATACTCAATGAAGAAATACTTTATTATAGTGTTTTGGAAAGCTCTCGAGATAAGCTACACGAATATGTAATAAAAAATAGGGAGTTTCATTTGAGAAATTGATGGTGATCTTCACGTAACTTTCAAATGACTCTCCCATGTCAAATCATTGCCACTATCTGATGGCCCCCTTCAAGCCATACAACTTTTGTCTGAAACATTTCTTTCTAAAGTGCATAGTTTATGAAATATTCGACCGATCCGGAACTTTTGGGACACTCTGTATAATACATATAATACATATACATATAAATCTAAACTTTACCCCAAAAAGCAGAGTGACTCCGTGGCAGACTCGAGCGCTCTGTATGTTAAGCGACACGCAGAATTGATAAATGCTGGCCATGATTTCTTCATCGCTCTTGCCGACTTTTATGTAATGTTGTAGCAGGCCGGCTCCTACTTTGCATGCAGTACAAGATACTTTGGACATTACGGAGGTTTCAACCTCCATCATGACTTGCCTCAGATCTAGAAGTTTAAGAGCTTTATCAACAAATCCGGACAGATGTCCACTTGGTTGGACAGTTTCCATATCCCATAGCATCCGCGAGTAATTTAACTGTAATTAGATATACATAAACATGATAAATTTATATGATGTAATATCTCAAGTAAAGTGATTGATAAAATAATGAAATTAATATAGTTGTCATTCTCTAATGTGCAATAATACTGTTATTAAAATATTTATTGCATTGCATGTTTTTGATTATTTTGCTTGGTTTTGTATTTAAGTTTTCTGTATTACTTAATCTTTTCGATTATTCCATCCGATTATTATGTAGAAAATATTTATAAATCTTCTCTCTTTTGTTCATAATATACATTAAAAGATATACACATATACATTCGGAAATGTAATTTATTCTTCATTGTAATATGTAAATTGGACAAATAAAGAAAAGAAAAAAATATATGCGGTTGAGAATAGGTAATTTTGTGATTTTTAATATTATTCTCAGTTATGATAAAAATCAAATTTGACTTAAATTAGAATAATAATGCGTCCCACAGTTTAAGATCCAATAATTATATCAAGAAAGGCTCGAAAAGGAGCAGAAAGCTAATCGATATATGTATACTTCTCGTCTATCACAATATATCACGAGACAGCTCGAATTAAGTGAAACGATTTCTTCGCGTCGCTTTCTGCGTGCCTTTGATCTTGCAACTTTCCTTCTTGGATCGCGATCCCGAGATAATCGAGCGTGCACCTTTTCCGAGATCGAAGGGAACACCGCGATATGTCTACCGGTGATTTCTTTTACGCAAGCGATGACGAGTGATATCGATGATCTTGGGCGACTTTCGCGGACGAAAGTCATTGACACCATATTATACATGATGTGTATGCGTATAAGCACACGCGAATAGGAAGGATAGAAGGTACATACTTGCATTCACCACGGTCTGTCGATGATCGCGTTGGTGAAAGTATTTTGACACTGAAAGTGAGAGCCGCAATGGCGACATTGGCGTTCGTCCCGAATAAGATAAAGAGAGGAAAAAAAAAGAAGAAAAAGGCGAAGTCGCGAAAAAATAATAATTAGAAAATTTTTATACATATATATATGCTTCTAGCAGAGTATTTCGATAAAGGCTTTCTCATGGGTATATAAAGTAGATAAAAAACTACTTACTTATACAATTTTTTTTCTACGCATTTCGATTGAAATATTTGTTTTTAAGTTAAAATTTGAGAAGTATTTTCAATAACTTTTATATTATTTTATTATATTTTATTATATTTTATTATATTATTTTATATAGATTTTAAATGTTCAATATATCATAATTCATTATATCTTTATATTAAGTAAAAATCTTTTAATTAAAGATCTAAAATAACGTGATTTCTTGATATCACATAGGAGAATTAGAAGCGGATCATTTATCACTTTATAATTTTCTTACAAAATTTTGAAATCGGTTTCATTACATATATATTTTTAAAATTTTTTCTTCATATCTTTTACTAAAAAAAAGGTTTACTTCTATTTTAATTCGTCAAAAACTAACTCCTTTATTTAACGGTTTATTTTTCGAAATATCAAATTGTTTTCGTATTTAAAATTTCTGCTTGTGTATTAACGCTCTGTATTATATTATATATATATATATATATATATATATATATATATATATATATATATACACACACACAGGGTGTCCCAAAAGTCCCGGACCGGTCGAATATTTCACTTCTATGCACTTTAGAAAGAAATGTTTCAGGCAAAAGTTGTATGGCTCGAAAGGGGCCATCAGATAGTGGCAATGATTTGACATGGGAGAGTCATTTGAAAATCACGTGAAGATCACCGTCAATTTCTTAAATGGAACTCCCTATTTTTTATTACATATTCGTGTAGCTTATCTCGAGAGCTTTCCAAACACTATAATAAAGTATTTCTTCATTGAGTACTTTACGAGTTATGAGGCTTGAAATAATTTCATAATTTTACATAAACCGTAAAATATCTTGTGAAATATTCATTTTTCGATTATCTTACTTAATAATTTTATGTACAAAATAATGAGAGGAATAAATTGGTATAAAGGAAACACATAGTTGTTTTTAAAAAAAAAATATGCAATTTACAATTTTTTTTAAACTATGTGTTTTCTTTACACCAATTGATTCCTCTCATTATTTTGTACATAAAAGTATTAAGGTAAGATAATCGAAAAATGAATATTTTACTAGATACTTTATGGTTTATGCAAAATTAAGAAATGATTTCAAGTCTCATAACTCGAAAAATACTCAATGAAGAAATACTTTATTATAGTGTTTTGGAAAGCTCTCGAGAGGAGCTATACGAATATGTAATAAAAAATAGGGAGTTCCATTTAAGAAATTGAAGGTGACCTTTACGTCACTTTCAAATGACTCTCAAAGGTAAAATCATTGCTACTATCTGATGGCCCCCTTTAAGCCATACAACTTTTGTCTGAAACATTTCTTTCTAAAGTGCATAGTTTATGAAATATTCGACCGGTCCAAGACTTTTGGGACACTGTGTATATATCTATCATATCTTCTATATCATTCTTCAAACGATCTTCGACAATACATCTATTCAGTTAGTTTTTCTATCTGTTGACATCACGTCGTTCACACATATATACACACATTTATATTTGTATTCACACGCTTATATTAAACAGTGTTTCCTTTAAAAATTTGTACTGCGATTTTTATAATCTTTATTCTCGTTGTCTATCGAAGTCAATAGTAGCTCAAAATTTGATCTAAATAAAGCTTGACAAACACATCTTGTATTTGCCCTCTAATCATCTCATTCATTCGAGTCTCGATAATTTCGATGTTATCAGTCTAGACTTACAGTCTATCGCGCATTTTTAAAGCTACCTCATTAAATAATAAACGTCATCTTTTATCGAATTCTATATTTTAAAAAGTCTTTGGCCAATCGAATAAAGTTTCATCTGTATCGATTTAACAATTTCTTGATGTAGTAATTCTTGGCGCATATTAATTATATGATACACATCCGTTAATGCGATATCAATATTACGGTTGATTAATGCTTTTCTAAACTAATTTCGCATCAAGAAGAAATATATCGATTAATATGTGGACGCAGGAGTGAAAATGCATCGATTAGATCAATTTCTCGTTTCTTATCATAAAGCAAAGCGAACGAATGTAGAAAGTTTTTCATGATCTTTTCTCATTTCACGATCATCGATTTTATCAGTTTATTTGTGCAATAATAATTCCATAGCATAATACGTTTCTATTTATACGGAAGAAGGTTGAGTCGATAAATGCTACTTTTCTTATTAATCGAGTGTATCGAATGCGTTTTCAACGGTCTAATTGCGTCCGACATGTAACTACTATCACGCAAAAGTAGAAACAGATCGAACAATGTCAATCGTATTGATACCAATCGGTGAACTTACGCAATATGCGCGGTAAAGATGTACAAAGTGTTTAGCAGATATATCGTAATCTTTATTATTCTAGAATTTTTCAAAAATATATTTTCGAAATTATATAATTTTATAAATAAAATATATATCATTTTATATATCATTTTAATATGTAATATTTATATTACATATAATTTTATAATATAGAATAATAAAGAAACGGAAAATATTATGTATACTTGTATTTTGAAGTCAAAATTTTTTTAAAAATCAACGTAAATTAGTAAAATTAAAATAGTAAATTTAAAATTTTCAAATATAAAATAAGCTTTAAAATTATTCCAACAATCCAATTATAGTGTATCATCATGTTTGCTAAAGATTAGATAAAATATCTGCAAGATGCAATTTATGGCATATTTTTCGTACAAGTACTTACGTCAGTTTACACATTAAAAACGATTCAATCTTTCATATATTTATATATCAGAGGAAATTTCGAATTGATGATGAATGAAGTATCTTACACAACTTTAACAACGATAGTGCAAACTTTTAACTAATAATAAATTATATCGTTTGTTCACGTATTGAGGATGTACGTACTGATGCGAACAAAATCTATTCCTCCTTACCCATTTGTTATATTTATATTACATATAATTTTATAATATAGAATAATAAAAAAATGGAAAATATTATGTATACTTGTCAGTATTTTGAAGTCAAAATTTTTTTAAAAATCAACGTAAATTAGTAAAATTAAAATAGTAAATTTAAAATTTTCAAATATAAAATAAGCTTTAAAATTATTCCAACAATCCAATTATAGTGTATCATCATGTTTTCTAAAGATTTGATAAAATATCTGCAAGATGCAATTTATGGCATATTTTTCGTACAAGTTCTTACGTCAGTTTACACATTAAAAACGATTCCATCTTTCATATATTTATATATAAGAGGAAATTTCGAATTGATGATGAATGAAGTATCTTACACAACTTTAACAACGATAGTGCAAACTTTTAACTAATAATAAATTATATCGTTTTGTTCACGTACCGAGGATGTACGTACTGATGCGAACAAAATCTATTCCTCCTTACCCATTTGTTATATTTATATTACATATAATTTTATAATATAGAATAATAAAAAAATGGAAAATATTATGTATACTTGTCAGTATTTTGAAGTCAAAATTTTTTTAAAAATCAACGTAAATTAGTAAAATTAAAATAGTAAATTTAAAATTTTCAAATATAAAATAAGCTTTAAAATTATTCCAACAATCCAATTATAGTGTATCATCATGTTTTCTAAAGATTTGATAAAATATCTGCAAGATGCAATTTATGGCATATTTTTCGTACAAGTTCTTACGTCAGTTTACACATTAAAAACGATTCAATCTTTCATATATTTATATATCAGAGGAAATTACGAATTGATGATGAATGAAGTATCTTACACAACTTTAACAACGATAGTGCAAACTTTTAACTAATAATAAATTATATCGTTTTGTTCACGTACCGAGGATGTACGTACTGATGCGAACAAAATCTATTCCTCCTTACCCGTGCCATTTGTTCAGGGTTCGTGCCGTTAACAACAAAAGTCTCCACCGTGGGTGGTAATTCCCGAAATCTTTCGTTGAACGGCAGCAGAGCGACATCCATCTTTTCGGCAGCTCTGGCCTTCGCCGAAATCCATTCGTCGGCCAGAGCGGTCCAGTTGGTGGACGCTATCTCGGCTTCTCGTCTTGTCCTGTCCCGAATGGGATTTCCTGCGTAAAACCAGAAAAGAGAGAGAGCAGTTCATTTATTATAATTCAATCGCGACCGATCGAATAGTCGTCCGCTGGCGCGTCCGGAAGATACGACAATTCTCTTGTTTTTGTTGAATTGAATCTACAAATTGCGCAACTCAATTCTCGCGAATTTTGCAATTTGCATTGTGAAACATCAATTACACATAAACGTTTCTCGTTTGGCAAGAAGTGCAGGGATTTGCGTCGAAACGAGCTTTACAATACGAATAATTATAAATTCATTTGAATGTGTGTCGCGTGAGATTAATATCTTCTCTATTAGATAACTTGCGATTAATGTACCACCATTTGTGTGTATATGGCACGTATTATACAATATATTACTTTATTAATACATATATATATATATATATATATATATATATATATATATATATTATTCTTAAGTAATATTTATAATATATTTATAATATTATATTTATATATTATAATTATATTGTTATAATATTTATAATATTTATAACAATATTTATAATATTTATAATATCTTTATATATTATAATTATATTATTGTATATTATAAATATATTACACTCGTTAACAAAATTATCGCATAGATAATTTCATGTCAAATTTTCTCTAACTTCTGTGTTTTTTTAAATGTGAACATTTCTACATTCCCGTCCTCCAACACACACACATACACACGATGCGTCAAATTCAACCAGCAACCTCCTCGTAGTGCGCATCGGGTAATGCTAATGCTGGCGGTAAATAAACCAAAATGTATAGGTAACTTTGATATGTCGTAACTCCGCGAAAAAAAACTTCATTTTTTTTAATTCACACATAAAAATCCAAATTTTACAATGATTATCATGAAATTTGCGACACAAATTTATTCCACCCCGTGGAATGCGTCAAATTATGCAATTTTTGAAGATGTAACACGTGCTTACTTAAGGAGATGACGAGAGGGGGGAGGGTAAATTCTAAATCTGACAAATGATTTTTAAAATAGAGGCTTTAAGCTTGGGAATGAAAAAAACGTTTTCAAATACGATCATTTTTATTAATGGAGTTATACTTATTTGAAGTTATGGGAAAATTTGACATGAAATTACCTATATGATAATTTTGACGAGTGTATTTTTAAGTTAAAATTTATTTTAAGTTAAATAGTTAAAATTTTTATATATTTAAATTATTTCTTTGCTTATAAATCTGAAATTAAAATGTAAAATATAATGTGAAAAAATCTTTTGAAAAAACATCAATGCAATGAATTTTTCCATGAGAAAGATAATATTTTTGCATATTAAACTCGTTACAAATTGAGATAAAATTGATATTTGACAATAAAAGACAAAGGTCTTTTCTCTGGACGATCATATTAGAAACTTTTTAACGAGTGAAATAAAAATAAATGAACGATCGCGTATGGATCATTTCATGCGGAAGGAAAAATTCATTTTTCACACTGCAATTAATCGTAAGCGATTAGTTACAATCGTGGAAGCTTGCTTCGATAAAGTATGTCGATTTTTCCCATGAAGCACGTAAGTATTATATTGCACAGCGTGTTTTACCTTGAAAATGTGCAATTTTTCTGTTACGCTCGGAATAGTCGATGATTCGCTGTTCAAAGGAAATCACATAATTTCCCATGAATATAATCGATCGAATCGCATGCAAATCTTAAGTTCTCGGCAAAAAGAGGTTACGAGATTACATAGCTAGTTGCGTTCTATTTTTCAACTTGAATCGTCAAAGTCGTAAAATTTATGAACTCTAATATACACATTTCCTAGTAATATTATTCATCCTTGTTACGCAATTTATTTACATTCCTTGTCCCTTGTTATTCGGATTATGCATACAAATAAGTTTCATTGATGTTTTTACCTAATAAAAACGTTTAAAATGATTCAAAACTAATTAAAATTAATATATTTCCTAATAAAATTATATATATATATATATATATATATATATATATATATATATATATACAGGGTGTCCCGGACCGGTCGAATATTTCATAAACTATGCACTTTAGAAAGAAATGTTTCAGACAAAAGTTGTATGACTTGAAGGGGGCCATAAGACGGTGTCATTGGTTTGACATTGCACAGGCGTTTAAGCTCACGTGAAGGTCGCCTTCAATTTTTTAAATGGAACCACCTATTTTTTATTCAATCTTCTGGTAGCTCACGTCGAGAGCTTTCCAAAACACTAATAAAGTATTTCTTCATTAAGTACTTCCCGAGTTATGAGGCTTGAAGTTATTTCTTAAATTTACATAAACAGTAAAATATCTTGTAAAATATTCATTTCTCGATTATCTTACCTTAATACTTTTGTGTACAAAATAATGAGAGGAATCAATTGGTGTAAAGAAAACGCATAGTTGTTTAAAAAAAAATGTAATTGTTAATTGCAAATTACATATTTTTTTTTTTTAAAACAACTGTATGTTTTCTTCACATCAATTAATTGCTCTCATTATTTTGTACATAAAAGTATTAAGGTAAGATAATAAAAAGATAAGGTAAGAAATACTTTATTATAGTGTCTTGGAAAGCTCTCGAGATAAGTTACACGAATATGTAATAAAAAATAAATAGTTCTATTTAAAAAATTGACGGTGACCGTCATGTGTCCTTCAAATGACTCTCCAAGGTCAAATCATTGCCACCCTCTGATGACCCCCTTCAAGCCATACAACTTTTGTCTGAAACATTTCTTTCTAAAGTGCATAGTTTATGAAATATTCGACCGGTCCGGGACTTTTGGGACACCCTGTATATATATATATATATATATATATATAAAATATATATTTAAATATACATACCGATAACAGTCCATATTGAATTAGAGAGAAAAACGCATAATAGGAAGATGAAACTTGATGATATTCTGCTTTGACTTTGCATACTATTTTGCACTCTTTGGTATCGTTACCTGTAATTAGAAAAAATAACAAATGTATATAAATGTTACTTATACATATATATTATGTTTTAATATAAATTATAAATAAATAAATATATATATATATATATATATATATATTGTTTTAATTATTTAAGAAAATTAGTTATATAAGAAAAAATGTACAAATACGAAAAATGCATTAATAGATATAAAATAAGGAAGTATAACAGGTATCGATTTTATTTTTTATATACATTTTACATTTTTGAGCAATATATGGAATCGATCGATCAAGCAAAGAAAGAAAAAACAAACAACGAAATTGAGTCCAATCATAAATCTTCGAGTAATTTTATAGCAAAAGCAAGTTCGCGTTACAAGAGTCTTTCGCGGCTGAAAACTGGGATTAATCGTCCGATGGACATATCCGTGAAAGGTGTACGCAATTACTAGAGAAAGAATTTGCATTCGACGGAACATAACTTGCACTTTCCTTGACGGTAAACGAGGCGTCAAAAATCGCGTGTAGCGACGCAGAGCGCGGAAGTTTGTGGAAATTCACGCTTCTAAAGTCGCGAATGTGCTTTATTTATTTTTTTTACAATCAATTTTTTTTCAATTGAGAGCAAGAGAAAGATGCGAGAGATGAATAAACGATGATTAATTATTTTCCTCCGACAACATGTGTCCGATCGGTGTCACTGTTACGACACATGAAATTTTTGGACATACCGTCCCGCCCGTTACTGTTACTCTTAAGTGGGTTAGCAATGAAGACACTGTTCGACGCCTTTTGAATGTATAAGAAATAACGACGATCGTCGCTTGAAATGCGCTCAAAAAATGATCTTGCAACTATAGCAAAAATTTTTTGAGAAAAATTAATTAAGACAGATAAATAATTAGCAAATATTATGATATCGTGTATGTTTTGCATTTAATCAATCTAAATGACAGAGATAGAATTTATATGAACTGTTGGTAAAATTTAGGAAGAAAGTCTCTCTGTAATGTCTATATTAAGATTAATATTTGATAAAATTTGGCTGATACACAGAATAATCGTTTTTCACAAAGATTCTTTCAGCTGCAGTATCAAAACTCTTACTTATCCAATGTAGTGATTGATATCTGGCAGTTTGACCTAAATTTTCCAGAAGATATTACTACAGATTTGTTTATATAAATTCTATATGTTTACAAACAATATTGTAGTACATAAAAAATAGCGATAAATTTTTGTCGTAGAAACCTATTTACATTAGCAAAATATTTTTTTTAAGTTTATAGCATCACATCTATGTTAACGGAACTCGTTCAATTCTCCGAGCAAGGATTCGTTTACAGTGTTAGCGGATTCTATACCGGTAACGGAAGTTTTTTCTCTCGAAATGATTGAGATACTTTTATCAGTAAAAATCTAAAACAAATCATTCGCATTATCAAGCTTTTTAATTTTGTTTTTAATTGAACATGTAGATATATAAATACATATATTATACATTATATTACTAAAAAGATGATAGACACTGTCATTTACATCATTTAATTAAATCATTATTTAATTATATTTGTTTTCCATTTATTTCTTTTATATTTTTATTATTTATTATTATGCAATTAAGTAGCGAAAGAAGAATACAGAAAAAATAATGATTTAATGAATTGATTTAAACTTTTCCCATGAAGTGTCGATTGGTAAATAGCGCTGAACAATTTGATAAATGATACATAATTTTCACTAAGGGGTTTATCAAGCAATTGATCATAAATAGTTCACGTGATTTTATGAATCATTGAGATTTTATTATTCACAATTATGTAGAATCGTATTTGAAGCAGCTGAAACGGAAATGAATTGCGGCCGACTAATACCTTTAGAATAAATTACGCAATATAAGTTATACAGGGTGACCCATTTTAACTTAGCCAAATAACTCGAAAAATAAGCACACTACGAAAAAATGGTTAGAATCAAAATTTCGTCATTTCGAGGGGGACGTACAATGACGTTAAAATCAGCCCCCCCATCCCTCCCCCTGGGCGGTGAGGGGGGCAAGTTTGAAATCTTAAATGGGAACCCCTATTTTTTATTGCACATTCCTGTAGCTTATCTCGAGAGCTTTCCAAAACACTATAATTAAGTACCTTTTTATTAAGTACTTTTTGAGTTATAAGGCTTGAAATAATTTCTTAATTTTACATAAACATAAAATATCTAGTAAACCATTCATTTTTCGATTATCTTACCTTCATACTTTTATGTACAAAATAATGAGAGGAATCAATTGGTGTAAAGAAAACATACAGTTGTTTTTAAGAAAAAATATGGAATTGTTAATTGCAAATTACATATTTTTTCTTAGAAACAACTATGTGTTTTCTTTACACCAATTGATTCCTCTCATTATTTTGTACATAAAAGTATGAAGGTAAGATAATCGAAAAATGAATGGTTTACTAGATATTTTATGGTTTATGTAAAATTAAGAAATTATTTCAAGCCTTATAACTCAAAAAGTACTTAATAAAAAGGTACTTAATTATAGTGTTTTGGAAAGCTCTCGAGATAAGCTACAGGAATATGCAATAAAAAATAGGGGTTCCCATTTAAGATTTCAAACTTGCCTCCCCTCACCGCCCAGGGGGAGGGGTGGGGGGGCTGATTTTAACGTCATTGTACGTCCCCCTCGAAATGACGAAATTTTGATTCGAACCATTTTTTCGTAGTGTGCTTATTTTTCGAGTTATTTGGCTGCCTAAGTTAAAATGGGTCACCCTGTATACAAACGATGCACGTGCGTGTCAAGGCTACACGTGTCATGAGATGTATCTTATCTGATGCTCACATTTGCACTTCCCTCTATAATTTGTAATTTTTGTTCTCTCTCTTACAGAATTATATCTTATAAAAGGCTCTATATAAAATATACCATTAATTTAATTTAATAAGACAAAAAGTCGTAGTTAAAAAAACTTTAAATGTCTTATAGAAAAATAATAAATATATACTATTTATATTTATACAATAATTACATTATGTCATTATCTATATATTAATATATCATTATTAATTTTATAGTAATTTTATAGTAATCAGATAGTAATTAAATATCTATGTAATAACACAAAAATAAATAACAAGGTAGATATAATTTACGATTGTATTATTTCCACGATAAGGAAACCAGAAATATAGATCAACGTTTGTCCTACTACTTTATAATTTCAATCTTACTCTATGGTTTGCTATATTTTGTAACTTCAATTAAATTTCGCGGAGTGTAGTAATTTTTTACTCTAATCTATTAAATTAACGGTTGCGTTGGTTTAATGGAATCAGTTTTGGCGAAAGTTATATACATATATGCATCCAATGCAATGAAGAACGCTTCTGGATATCTCTGTTTTTTATTTTATATGTTTTTCGATTTTATATCTTTCCCGTGTAATAGTCGATTATCGAAGTAAAAATAAAAAGATTCTTGATTTTAACAGTCGCTTAATATTTATACATGATTAAATATGATAAAACATTTTAGAATAAATGAATCTTTATTTCCAAAATTCATAAAGCAGATATTATGAGATGAGATTTATAATATATTGCCAATTTATCTTTTTTTAAAGTAACGTGCTTGTTACACTAATTTTAAAATTTTTATGCTAATGCATTGCGATAGTGAAATATGTCCGATTTTTGTGTCCGTGAAGCTGGCACGACAATCTAGAATTTAAAAAAAACACTAAGAGTTCTGATAGCACTTTTCAGTTAGTTCTATAGTTCCTGATGAAAATTAAAAAGAGTTCCGCATTTCTTATATTAAAAAATCGAAATTGAAAAAATGTCGTGCTAACTTCGTGAATCTAGCATACTCTTCCCTCTAAAGTATCAAAACGCGTAGAATATTATTATTTTTAGCAAGAGTTCCCGATAGTTCTGTTCAAATTCAGCCTATATACGCAATTTTAGATCGATATTTCAATAATTAATAATTTTTAAACAATTTTTAAGATTCTCGCCCGACATTTTTAAGATTCTCGGCACGACATTCTCCCTCTAAAGTACTAAACCGCATTCAAAATTATTATTTCTGACAACAGTTCTTGACAGTTCTGTTCAAGTTCAGCCTATATATGCAAATTCAGACCGATATTTCAATAATTAATAATTTTTATAAGTTTTTAATGTCCTTGATTAGCACGACACTTATATACTTATAAATAATTTTTTACAATTATATTATTAATTGTTAGAATAGTGATCTAAAATTGGATATATAGGCTGAACTATAGTAGAACTATCGGGAACTCTTGCTAAAAAAAATAATATTCAACGCGTGTTAGTACTTTAGAGGGAAAGTGTCGTGCTGAGTTATTGTAAAAAATTATTTAAAAAATAGTAATCGGTCGGAACTCTACGTAAAAATGTCTCTAAAAAATAGAACTTATATAGAACTGTTCAGAACTGTCGTTAAAAATATGGAAAATCATCAGCACGACACATTTTCACTAAATTGTCGTGCTGGTCAAGAACATTAAAAATTCATAAAAATTATTAATTTTTGGAATATCGGTCTGAATTTGCATATATAGGCTGAATTATAGCAGAAATATCGAGAACTGTTATTAGAAATAATAATTTTGAACGCGGTTTAGTACTTTAGAGGGAGAATGTCGTGCTGGGCAAGAATCTTAAAAATTGTTTAAAAATTATTAATTATTGAAATATCGATCTGAAATTGCATATATAAACTGAACTTGAACAGAACTATCGGGAACTCTTGCTAAAAATAATAATATTCAACGCGTTTTGATACTTTAGAGGGAAGAGTATGCTAGATTCGCGAAGTTAGCACAACATTTTTTCGATTTCGATTTTTTAATATAAGGAATGCGGAACTTTTTTTAATTTTCATCAAGACCTATAGAACTATGAAAAGTGCTATCAGAACTCTTAGTATTTTTTTTAAATTCGTAGAGATATGTATAGATTGTCGTGCCAGCTTCGCAGACACCCGATTTTT